CAGACAGAGCAGCCTCGCGGGCCCGCCGCTAAACAAAGAGACTTTCGACGGTGATTCTTCCTAGCGTGTGCGATGTGGATGTCTGGCAAGGCTTAAAAACCAAACAAACAAGAAAACAAACAAAAAAAAGCCCCCCCACACAAAACCGACAAAACTCAAACAACCCTCCCGACAAAACGAAAAGAAAATCGGACAGCGACCAGGCTGAGTGAAGAATGATGATCTCTTGCTATTATTAGCAGTCTGCAGCCGCATTAATTAAAATTTCCTATTTTAGACAAACATCACTAATTTATTGGCCTTTTGTCTGTCTTGTAAAATACAGAAATACAAAGTTGTAATTAAATTCGGGGAGCAGGTAGAAATTAAAGTGGAAAAGCCACTAAATCACACAGTGGGCTTTGGCCGCTTTCTGAAATACTGACGTTCCCAACCTGACAAGACAATATGAGTTAAGTGGTCCCTTTGCAGCCACTCATGGGAATCAGCTGCTGCAGATGCACCCACGGGCCGGCGAGCAGTCTTGCTGTAATTTCTGCCACAGAAATGGATAAATAAAACCCTGCTTCGGTAACCATGCGGTACGCTGAACAGGCTCCTCTGCAGACTCGCGCACAAAAGCCAGGATGGAACGGGGAGAGAGGGGAGGCTCCCCTCCGGAATTTGTGATCTAAGGATGTTTTTTAAGGATACTTTACCCATCAGTTGCCCTCTGTGGTTGGAGAAATGGCTCTTCCACTGACTGTTACTTTCAAAAATTAAAATGATGGTGTAAGGCAGATAAAGCAGAGGCATTTTTGCAATCTCTCCCAGTGGCTGTTCCTTGGCTAGTTAACAGACCATCTATTCAGAAGCAATTTTCTTTGGGCTGAAATTATGTGCTGACCGTAGCAGATCACTTCCCATAATACCCCTTCCCCCACCCAACGCTAAATACAAACCGTCTCCTACTCACTGTATAATAATGTGAAAATGACTGTAATTTTGCAGACAAGAAGCAGCCCAAAGTGAAACGTGTCTAAACAGAGGTCGATACTGAAAAAATCAGGGCCATTACCTAAATCTGAAAAATACATACTGTAAGGAAACAGGAATAGTGATCCACAACTAAGAAGACCAAAAGCTTGGTGTTGCTGATCTTAAAATTTTGCTAACCAGTGAGTGACATCACTCCAGAGCTACCCCGGGGAAACTGTGATTTTCGGTACCTTGTAACATTATGCAAGCCCACCCCTCCACAAATTGCAAATGCTGGGCCTAAGCGTCCCCTTGCTGGGGGAAGGGTGGCAGTGTCTGCAGCCGTCTCCACTACCACACCGGCTGGGAAGTGGCTGCTCGCAGGCCCTCCTTGCGATTATCCCTGCCTTGTCCCACTGTCTGGGTGGGAGGGCAGGGATGTGTTCACTGCTCACACCCCAGCATTTCTTGTTTGCGCTACACACATGCTATGACTTTTCCTCTTTTTCTAGCATACCTTCCCCCCCGCCCCCACCCACCTTTGTAATGGCTTAAACATTTAATGTGATCAAGGGCCTCCTTGAAAATGAACATATTTCTGCTAATAAACCCTTCATTATCAGCCCCTGAACGGGAAGTATTTTTACACAGGAGAAACGGAGCAGTCTCAGACCGGGCAGCCTCAAGGCCTCCCAAGGTAGCATAACTTGGTGACCCCAACGCCCGTGGCGTGAGGGGCCCACAGGACCTGCAGAGCAGCCTTTTCTCCTAGGGCCCCTGGTCACAGTGACCTGCTGGCCATAGCGCGGTCGGGTGCCACGCCACGGGCGGCTTTTAGTCCCACTAGTCCTGTTTTGCCTTCCACAAAGTCCCCGCAGCAAAGCCGGGTGTGACGGGGGTTTGCGCCTCTGGTACCTCTCCACTAATCGCCCCTTCGATGGGAAGCCTGCAACGCGGGAACGCTGACGCGTGTGGTTTGCTCAGCTGGACGACATCCAGAGAGGTATTTTGTCACCCTGTCATGGGTGTGCAGGACATCGTAAATGCCACGCTTTGACTTCTTGCCGGAAATTTTGGCTTGGGCGATGCGTACGTTTGGCAAGAAAAACACCCCGTATCGATTTTCACAGGGAGATCAGACCCAGCGAGATCAAGAAGACGAAAGGGAAAAAAAGTCAAAGAGAGGAAAAAAATAAAAAGTAATAAAAAAAAAAGAGTAGATCGTGCTTAAGGGTGTTAAAAGGAGCAGGGTGTCTGCAGGGCCAGAGGCAGTGCCCCCCACCTCCTGACCCCCCGTGCCCGCGGACGGCGGCCGCCGCCACCCCCATCCCACCCTCGCCGTCCGCGAAGGGTTAAACGCAATTTAACGCAGTGGTGTAGCATAATGGCTCCCAACGTAAACAAAAGGAATGATTAAGGGGGATATTTTCGAGCTACACAAAGCCCGATAGGGAAGATTTGTGTTACTAATTCCTGTGAAAGGATGTTCACGTGGTAGTTATAGGGTCGCTGGCATTCACACTTCAGTGCGTGCGGCAGTAAATCAGCAGTCTGGAAACAAAAGGGTTATTTTCTGCTCCCCTTCCTTCCGAAAAAGACGAAGAAAAAAAAAAAAAGGAAGAAAGAAAGAATAAAACCCGACCTGTCTAACTTAAGCCATATTGTAAAAATGAACATGTAATAAAATACATGAGGAGCTGAAAAAGTGAATACAATGAGGGCTGATCCGAGAACGAAGCAGCACCTCGGTGACCCCCCAAGCAAAGGTGGGGGTGCTGCCCTACCCTGAACCTCCCCTCAGCCCCTTCCCTCCAGACTCTGTTTGCTTTTCTCCTCCACTAAGCACGAAAATAATCGCACATGTGTATCAGCGACCCTCTCTCGCTGGCTTCAAGCTGTTATAATTTTGAATGAGGGGGCATTTAAAAATTATGACTGAGGTTCTAAATTGCCTCTTTGAAACCGGCACAGAAAAATCGTTCATCATGGCTTCGAAAACTGCACTGAAATTAAATTAAAACGAAATGAGGGAGTCTTCCTCCCGACGTGTGAGTCTTGGCAGAGCTACACTCTACCTTGGTTTTCTTTTTTTTTTTTTTTCCCTCCTCCC